AGTGAGATTAGAATAACAAGCACCACAGAGCTTCCAAATGGGAATAAATTATAAAATAAGGAATAAAGTGCCAAGTGGCAAAAATAAGTAAACATTAATTTTCTAAGAGATACCTTTATGCACAAAACACTCAAAAGGATACACTTATCTCCCTCTTGAAAAACTTGGCATGAATATGTGACCAAGAAATACAATCCTTGTTTAAAACAAGGTATATTTTGAAAGGGGCACGGCTATTTCTGATATTCAAGGCAATTGTGACATCAAAATTCCCTCTTGTATACATTTATATATAACATCATACAGCTAAAACTTTTTTTTTTACCAAGGACACAACAGGACTTGCAGATATCTGAGTATCAGTGAGCCACCTACTATGTTACATGTACCTATTTCCCACACTTCCCAAATCTCTTTCAATAAACATAAAATAAAACATGCTACAAAAATCTGTTACCCCATTTCAAATTACTTTGCATTCAGGATGTTTTTCATACTGTTTGCCAAAGTGTGCCAGATGGATTTTGTGTCAACCTTGTGGGAAATATCATCTGATGAGTAGACCATGGGTGTTTTCACTGCCTAATTACATAAACAGTGACCTCAAATACAAATTTCAGTTAGCTAGGCAAGCATTTACTCACCCCATGTTTAACAGTTTTCGCAGCATGAGCAGCCTTTTTTCCAGCACCATAAAATGTTAGCACATCTATGATACCAAGGTAATAACACTCGCGTCTGTTTTCTATAAAAAGAGAGTGAATTTAAGAGCATTCTTCTATTTGTGTCCAGTGGAATTTTAGAGAATTTTTCAGTTGAAAACCTTAATTAATCTGGAAACAAGATAAGATTGTCAGGTAAGAGGGTTTGTTGATGTGAAAAAACACTGAAATCTCAACACCAAACATCAAAGAAACATATGATAGATGGTTTGGAGATTTGGATCTCAGATGTTTGACTGACCCTTTGCATCTCATTTTCTCAATCACTGCTTCTGTTTTAAAACCCTTTAATGTGTACTCATATACCTCAAAATTCCACTTCAAGTGTTTGTTACTAGTCTACGATGTTCATAGCAACACATACCATCTACACTTTGAAAGCCCTCTGTGTCATCCTCATCCTCTCTCATATCAAGATCAGTGCTTCCATAGCTGATATTTCTCTCTCTGTGATCATCACAGTTAGCAGGAGGAGTTGTTGGAGGTGTATCAGAGTACAGCATCTCTGCCTCACCCGGGGAGTCAGATTCCTGGGGTGAGTCACCTTCACGAGGAGACTCTGGCTCGCTATCTTCATTACTGTCTACACCCCCCAGAAAATCATCCACATCATTTCCTGCCTCCGCAAGATCAGCATCATGAATTCCTACCAGCAAGCTATAGTCCATGATGTTAAGACTTGTCAAAAACTGCATGAAAGGAAAATACTAATTCTTAGGTGAAAGATTTCACTTCATTTCATTTGTTTTTTGTTTGAAATCTTTACCATCATTTGCTTCAACTATTATTTGCTACCCAATGGACAAATCACTATCCAGTGGATAAGTCATGGCAAAACATATATTGTTATCTACTGGATAGAGATTTATTTAGTGGATAGTGTTATCTGACCTTTCAACAACTGGGGCCAGTACAATAATATATACTTCCTGAGGGAAACAGTTAGTTTTGCTAGGGAAACATCAGGACTCGTGGGAAAATGGAACTAACTAGTTTCCCAAGGGACCACACATTGAGTACTTTGTTGTTTGTTTTGCTGCTAAGGTGAAACTGCAGAAGAGATTAATGGGTAACTCCTTTTGACATTACCAATACATTCTCCTGCAATAAAGTGACAACAATGCTTATTCTGATAAAAAATCAAATTCTCCATCAGATTTAGGAGGAAATGTGTAGCAGCTAGAAAGGAGAGCTAGTTATCAGATATGGGCAGTTAAAGGGGGCAATGAAGAATCCCAAACCATGCAGAAAGGATAAACTAGAAGTCTCACCTCAACATCATCCTTGACTCTTTGTAGTAAGTCTTTCTTCACTTCATCCCCAATACGAAGTTTTGCATTATCTTTTGTGAAATCATTGTCCTTGAATGTAGGATTTTCTTTTGTCTGGAAAACCAATAATATCCTCTTGAAAAAAAATGTCTAAAATGTACATGTATATCTACATCATCTTGATGGTTTTAGAGTCCCTTTTAGCACACTTAGAGACATGACCTCACAAACCTGTGAGGATGTTACTGGAAATTACATCATAGCCCTCTTAACATGAACTTGAGAGCTTACTAGTTGTTATCATAAATATTAAAATACAAAACATAGCAAGTACTGTTACCTTTTCTTTAGTACTTGCTTGTCTGTCAACTGTAGAACCTTTTAAGTCATACTTCTTGTGAATTTTAAACTTAGAACTAAACACACTCTTCATTACTAAAAGGTAGGTCTCCTTGTTATCCACTGTGATCCGGTACACAGCCAAGTACTGGGGCAACAGTGTTTTGGCATGTTTCTCAACAATATACTGCAAAAGATTTGTAAAGGAAAATATAAGTGGTTATTATTGAAAAGGTGTAGTACATGTGCATTTACAGTACAACTCAAAAGCTGATTGACAGTGTGGACATTTTTGAGAATTAAGGATGGAGAATCTAGGATCAAGAATCAAGCCTCGTGGAGAGAAAATTGAGAATTAATTATTGAGGATCAAGGATCAATTTTTGAGGAAAACTATTGGTAATAATGATAACACTCCTCTGGAAACTGCCGTACTCACATGATGGTACTGTGGAAGAATGTTGTGAAGTCTTTCAATATCTTCACTCTCTATTGTTTTCACATAGAACCTTTTGTCTTTGGAAATAAAGAATTTGGCACCACTTCGACCAGGTGAGGGCATGACTAAGGGAGGACTCTGAAAGGAAGCCTGGAAGATACAAATTAAACAAAATTGTTTCAAAAATCTGAAGCTTGTAAGTGCATACCTGTATGTATTTTGCCATAGAAAGCCAAGATTGGAGACAAAAGTCAACTACTTACGGCATAATGGCTGTCATCAATACCAAAACGTTCCCGAAGCTGTCTGAAGACTAAAGGACAGTATTCTTTGAACTTGAAATGGCTTGGAAAATTTTCTCTGCAAAGAAATATGTGAGACATGGATTAAAACCTATCTTGTTTTTCACAAGACAATCCAGAGAAAAAGAGTTCTAGAATTTGAAGAGGGATGGTTGAGGCAAATAACACACTCATACAAAGATTAGGTACATGCATGTTTCCTTACATATCAAATGGGCTATCTTGAAAAATCAGTACCCCTCAGTTTAACGCTTTCTCATTTGCAATATGTGCTAAGCTCTGCCAATGTCCACAATCCTTGACTACCTTCGAGTTTAATCCAACCACTTTGGCATTTGTTTCTCCCAGAAAGCAGTTTTTTTAGGGTTGTATTCTTTGTACATGTAAGACTTGCATAGGCAGTTGAGAAGGGGATGCAGAAAGCCTGTGCTCCACCCCAAATCCTCCCACTCTTTCCACTGTAAGTTTTTAAATTAGTGCAAAAATACTCCCAAGCTCAGCATAAATTGGCTGGGAACAATGTTCTTACAGTATATTCCTCTTTTTCATAAATCACTTCATCACGATTATATTTAGTGGATTATAATAATGTTCTGAGACTTTTTTGTAACAATGCATAAGTTGATTTTCTCATTATATCTTAGCTATATAGGATGTTTATTTAAAAAATTTGTTTGTAAAGATATTGTAGTTCAATTAGATCCTTGGTTCAATTTTTGCAATCTTATTTTTTTCAAATCAATCATCATAGGTCACTAAATACAAAGCTAAATATGCATGAAAATAAAATTTGAATGAAAAGTTTATGAAGTTGAGTGTATCTTTCCTACAAAGAATCCCTATGACCTTCTAGTGTCTGCATGAGGTATAATTTTTTAAAGAAACAGTTTCACAAATGTGATTAAGATAACCACAGAATATTTTAACCTCAATGGCACATGTGCCAATACTTACACTTTTGTGTGCATAAACTATCATGATGCTACATCAGATGTAAAACCCTGCTGTAGCATTTTACTTGAAAAACTACCAAAACATGAATAACAGCTGGAATTCTAAAGAAAACTCATCTTGCATATTTTCTTTTATAACCAATTATTGGCCAAAGTTTCATTATTTTGACTATGTTATTTGTTGTGATTGCTATTTCCAGCAGGCTACCTTACACAAAACCCTGGATGCTTCTCCCCTTATATGAACAGAGTCCAAATTTACCAAAACTAACTGCAAATGCAACAGAATACCAAAAGTTGGTCAGCAGAATTTTAAGGTTTCTCCCGACCAGATGCCTAACTTTGCCTCTCACCAATTTTTTAGCTTGTGCTTAAGAAACTGAGATTTCCTCCAATCAAATCATTATCATATACAATTTACCTCCTGTATTAGAGGGATTTCCTATAATCATCCCTGAGTAGGCAAATGCATTCTCTGTGATAATTCCTTTGCTACCTAATGCAGTCCTACAATAAATTGATCTAAGTGCTTTTTATATGGGATTTAAAAATAGTTTGAGCTGTTTGGTCAGACAAGACATTGGCTCTCTGCCAAAGGGAATTTTTCATAGCTTATATTATTTTTCACATCTAGAAAAGTCTCTGGCGATGATTCCTTGGATGACTACTTGTCATCAACACATTCACACATCATACCCACTTCCTCATTGTATCTAACAGTTCTAATTATACTTTGATTAAAAGACTGTCACAAAATATCTTTTACCAACCTATGATGCTTGTTTTATTTAATTTCATGGCCAAAAGGGGCAAAAGTAGCTAACTATACTCCATGTTTTCTGCCTTTAAAATGTCCCTCCTCAGAAAGATAGCCAAACAAACCAAGGTTAGGAGAGAGTCAGTTAGACACAAGGAGGGATAATTTTTAACATATCTTTTGGTTAACATAGAGTACCTCACTTGAGTGTCACTTGGCTTATCTGAACATTCCTTCTTGGTTTAGGGTGAAAATTTAAGAAGATAGATTGTAAAAGTCTTATTTATTTTTGCTTTCTCATTTCACCAGTTTATAGCTATAGCATGTGAAAAAAATCACTTCTACTTCATCAGTAAATCTTGTACTTTGTTCAATTTTTCCTTTTGTTCGTTCTAAATGATGAGTTTGAAAAAAGACAAATTTTATCTTTCAAAGCCAGATTTGAACCATGTTCTTTCCTTTAGATGGTATCTCAAGCCAAAGTGACAAAGATGCATTTAAAAATGGAACATCACTTGGCCTGTATAGGATTACTGTATGTCAAGGACATTCATTCATAAGTGATCAAATTAACACAGAAAAAAAACAATAACAGATGTGCCCAGACAAATTTTGAAAAATATGTAAATAATCAAACAAACTTCACGAATTGAGAGATTTACTGCTTTAAATAGAAAAGAAAACTCTGAAATTGCTTCTCATTGTTGCTTTAATTTAATAATATACTATAAAACCAATCATTTCTTATTATGACACCATGTATAAAGGTTGTTTCAATGGGTAAGCACCAAAAATATTAGCTGTGTGTAATTACAATAAAACTCAGACAGCCAAAGGCATTTATATGAATCAAGTGAGAAATCAAACTCCGATTTCTTAAAGTTTCCTTCTGATCACATAAACATACAAGAAATAAAAGAAATCTTGAATTCTTTTACAGGTAGCTGTATAAGCTATCTAAAACACATCACTAACTATGCACAAATACACTGCGATTCTATAGAACAATGCTTCAACCTGATTAATCAATCATTTCAAATTGTTTGTAGTGATAGATAAACAGCAAGGCTGTGCTCCAGTTTCAATGAGCTCTAGCTTGTCAAATTTTTTTCAGATTATGTGAGTTCGCCAAGCTTAAACTGTATGTCAAAAAAATTAACCAGACAAAACCAAATAATCAGACTATTCTTCCAATAAACTAATTCAGCCATAAAATTGACTTAATTGTGCTCCTTATCATCTCATAACAGTATGAGGTCCTTAGGGGAAAATATAAAAGAGTGCATCAATCAAATGCACGAATGTAAAATGATGAAAATAACATTCTTTCCTAACTAAAATTCAGCCTCAAGTTTGCTCACCCAATAACATTATTCAGTAATATCTTCACATATGCACATTTACGCAAGCTACTCTTAATAAGGAAAAAATGTGACTTCTGAAATTAATCCTGACTAGAGCTGAAATTAAGAAGACGTCTATATTTAAAAATTTAGACATTTTACACGCAGGGGGAAATCAAAACCGCACGTAAATTATTAAGCAATTTGATACAGAGAATAAAAATACAATAAATGCTGAATAGCTGGCTACACCGACCATTCTGTCGATAAGGCTGCAATGTGCGAAAAGGAGGTGTTGTTTACGAAATAAATCATCTTTCAAGATGGGCATATGCCTTTGCGGTAACGATTCCATGGGAAAAGGCTTTGAAAGTCCAAATACGCTCGCACGATTGTCTAGATAATGAATTCAAGTCTTGCAGGTGACAAGTGCCCAGACCGAATTAAATGAAGAACCTATTCGATCGACGGTTTAACTTTGAAAACGCTGATACACATGTAAAACCTTGTCATGTTTCAGGAACCCAATCGATAATACAAAGAAAAAAATTGATATCTTCCGTAACAACGGGAAAAAACCCTAAGGAAGGTTAGGAAAATCTTAAGTTTACTGAAAGCTTCACAGTTCTCGCATAAACATGCTTGGCAGAGACGCTTGGATTTATTCCGATTTTCTGGACCAAACTAAACTTCGTGTCAAATCATGAAAACGAAACAGAAACACAAGAAATAAACTCCGAACAACGCCAAGCAGATTTAAAACTCATTCACAATAAATAATAATTCTAGAATATAACAGGACTCAAATAAACACACTGGCCTTCATGGCACTTACTTGTTGAAGAGGTGATTGTCCACGCGAAGTTTTGTGAACGCTTTAAAGTCGTCTGGCATTAGCATGGCTGGATTATTCACATGCGAGAGTTCGTTGATCTAAGAAAATCATAATACAAGCATCAGCCTCATATAAACACCGTTTTAGGAAAAAAACGACGAGATCATGCTTACCGAATGACTGACTCCCCACATCAAAACACTGAGAAGCGGATTTTTGGAGCGAAAGACTTTAACTTTCTGGCTCATAACCCTGAACTTCTTCTTCTTCTTCATCTTAGCATGACTAGACATCTTGGACAGTAGTTTTCCTCAGCTAACGACGACTTGTTTTTGTTTAAACCATACTTACTAATGGTAAAAAAAATTCCCACATTCTACAGTCCGCAGCACAATTCTACTTTTGGATCGGACAATAAATATTCCCACCTGACTCCCATGATGCTTAGCTACTTGTGGAGGGAAGAAGCTTCGGGTGGGGGAGGGGTGCGGCGAGTTGATGGCTTTCCGGCCTTTGGAGGTCACGAATTTCTAAGATGGACTTGGCCTACTTTTTAATTCGATTTTTTAAAGTGTTCTTGTCATTTTTAATCTTCTCACCCGTGAAATACTTAACGAGTTGAAGCGGCCACAAGGAAAACGCAATCAAGATGAACAAAAAAAAAAAAAAGCAGCATCTAAGACAAGTCCATGATGAATTATTGAACAAAAATTTCTAAAGTAGATCAGTTAATTTGAATGACATGGAAAAAATAACGATAAAATTTCTCCTTCTTTCGACATCCTTTTCGTTTCCCGATTCAGGGCAGAGTGGAGGAAAAGCTTAATATATAGAGGATAAAATTGCAAACTTCGGTCGAAATTCCGTCCTGGGATAATAGGCGAGTAAACCCCGTTTCGACATTTCTTTGACAATTCTTGAAGGTTTTTCTGTCCAATAAGTACTTAGAAATTTATACGGCTGGTGTTTTGATTCTCCCTTTTGAGTCTAGCATAATTATAGTTTTCGAGAGTTATCCAGGTAATGTCGCGGTTTACTCAGCCATTTAAAAATTATAATGAGCTCAAATCCCGGTTCGGGGAATTATTTGTGGAGACAGATTAGAGTCGCAGCGAACTCACCTCATCGAAATTGTTCAAATAACGTTTTAATTCCGCTTAGCCCATTTTTCAATAAGATATTCCATAAATAACGGGGCATTCGGTCAACTTCCGCGATTTTTCGGACACCGGTAGGGAGAAACGAGGAAAAAACTTGAAGTTTGCAAAACCCCTCCCTAAAATGGAATCTATCCGCCGATGATCAAAGAACGCTTTCATCCCCATCGACAGTCCTAAAATATTTTCGTTCGAAAAGAAACGCCTTCTCTATGGCTGTCCTCTAATATGTCGTAAATGATCTCGCGAAAAAGAGTCACACTGATTTGATGTACATCATTTTCTTCTTCTTCGGCTTACTCACAACTAACTCCGATCTCTCAGTCAATCAACCTAAATCACCTATCATGTTTCTGTACTTCCTTCACGAACCTATCAACGCTCCGGTCACGACAAATAATTCATTGGTAAAAAATACTGATACACAAGCTAAATTTGAACTGGTCTTTCCTTTTGAATAAAAAAAAAACACAGATAAGAATACGAAACGTCCAAAGTTCACCATCATCAAGTGAATATGGAGACCCTTAAATTTTCTGAAGAAACGTGATGCAAAAATCTGGAAACACCATAATTAAGGACAACCGTGACACTTATCTTTAAAATTTGTGCCAGTTTTCTTCTTATCGTGTTTCTCTTGGAAAATGTCCCGATGAGCGCATAGGATTCTTCCCTCAATAGGATCTTAAGCTTCGATCGTGAATAGTTTTCATAAACTAAGCAACATGACATTAAAGGTGCATCAAAATATGTCATGACTACAAGCGCAGATTTGGTCTCGCTATCAGTCTATTTTTCCACGAAGGAACTGACATTTGAGATTTATCAAAGTGAAAAAATATTGTTGCAGCCAGAGAGTACATGTTACTATTAACAAGTACTGTAAATTTAACATCAGTACAACTTCGTTTTGTTCTCTCCAGCGTTTGCAGCTCGTCTTGAATCAAACATTGTCAGCGGTAAAGTGGACTACAGAAAGAGTAGAAGAGTCGCTCTAAGACTGGAAGTGACCAAAGATGAAGAAAACGTAACAAATTCTTACTTCATCTACCTTTAATTAAGATTCGGTGGTAATCAAAAATCAAACCAAACGAACTTTGCCTTTTCTCCAGGCTTAAGGTTGTCGAGCAAAGTACTCCATCTACGTGGACTGAAGCGAACGCCATACAATTAAATAATCTTTCACATTATTAGGGGCCCTAACTACATCTAACGTACCATACACTAGGCACGAGACTAGCACGCAATAGTCAGTGAAAGCTCCTCTACTTTAATAACCAAGATATCAGTCAAAAAGACGTATGAACGAATGGCAGATCAATTGTTTGTCTTTGTCTATGAATTGTAGTTAAAACAAAGTTATATATAAGCCCTATAACGGCTTTTTAGAAGTACGGTTTATAAAAATCACGTATAAATGTGGTTAAAATAGTACTTTAACAAGTTAATGATTAAAATCGATGAGGAATTCTTGTAAAAATAATGATATCTACTTATGTACCAGTATTTGGCACTTAATGAACATGTTTATACAGTCTAAGTTTTCCAAGCTTTGCGTCGAAAGTCTGACGTTTGCAAGAGGAGAGCACGCTGGAAGACTTAATCTACATTTGCTGTGTTTAGTTTCCTGGGTTATTTTAAGATTCTTCTACCCTCGTTTCCAGGGGCTCTCCTCTTTTGAGGACGAGGTTGACACAGTCCCATTCCCAAGTGGATCTAAAAAACACTCATCTAGTGTCCACAGCGCTTTCAGACTAAGTATCGTGAAAACGAAAATCAAAGTAATGTAACCAGCCTATCAGAACGAGTATAATATCACAAGGATAACGTGGGTGGCCAGGTCGCATTTAGTTTTAGTCTTGTAACTCATTTGTTGAGAGCATGACACGAATTATCTCGACCAATCACAGAGCAAAGTGAAGCAAAATCGAAGCATCCCATTTTCCTCTCTAAATTTAATTGAAAACCGCTCTACTCCTCAAGTTACCTCTCCCGTGATCTTATTGAAACGCTGGATCGTTAGATACACCTTGCGTGCATCATGGATGCTTTGATGGAGAATGAGCACTCATTCTGTTGGTTTTCCAAGTGAGTCAAATCTGTGACACCAGCTGATTAGTTTTTTCAACATCCTCTTAGGTTTTTTAAAATAGTGAGTGAACTAAAAAAACGCGAAAGAAACTCTCTCGGTATCTCTTTTATCTATCTCTTTTCCTGATACTCTCCTGCTCGAAAACGATCCGAAATAACGTGGCATTCGCAAGTTAGCGCAGTTATTGCTTCTCATTGACTGAGGACCAAAAATAACAACTAGACCAAAATACTTGAAAAAAACAAATAAAATAAAAGTAAAAAATTAGACGTGGGGAAAAATAATAAAAGCAGACGAGCTAGTCTACGAATGTCCTTTACGAGCTACGCCGAAGTTTTTCGCGCAATCTTTGGAAAAACTTTGTTTGTTAGTTAACTAATAATAGTAATATTGTGGTACCCAAACTATTTCAGCGGCCGGTTGTTGAGGCATGGGGATTCCCTGTACCACAGGCCAAGTCCTTGAAGATGAAAGCTGTAGTTGTGGCAACTGAGGTGCCTGTGTATGGAAATATGAAATCTGTTTGCAAAAACATTTAAAGTTGTTAGTGTGGGCAGCGGGGTCGGATACGGCGGAGGGGCATACAAGATTGACATTGATCAGCTCTACAAGTTATCAGAACAGGAGGCATATTGTATCTGTAGAAGTTATTAGAGTTAAAAAAAAAAAGGTAAGTGACGAAACTTGGTAATTTTCTTCTGAAACGTGGCTCCTACGTACGAGTTTACATAACTCCTTCAACAAAACAAACCTGCTGGTTCATGGCTGTGTAATACACAGGTGCAGTTGATGAGGGAGAGGCCCAAGTGGTAGGGGCTGCAAGAGAACAAGAAAAAAGGGGCCCTTCAAGGTACCAGTCAGTACTTAACAGAGTGCTTAAAGCTCAACAAGAAAGCAGCGAACCTTCCTGCATAAAAAGATAAATATTATAGGAAAATAATTGATACCAGCCACAGGCACAGTTACCAAATCCATCGCTGCTTGTTGATTGACCTTGAAAATAATAAAAAGAAATCGTTATGTTTCTCTAATAAATACGAAGACCTACGTCTTCTTCTCTACGTCTTCCTGTAATTTAAACACCACGGAAACGACAGCAGCAATCTGATCACTTTAGTTGTGGTCGCTTCGATTTTGCAACGCACTTATAATTAGGAGTTACACCACTATACTTGCTCTCTCGTGATTTCAGAGAGATAAACAGACAATCGGCGAAGCAGCTGTCACTATTCTTCGGAACTACGAAAGACACCGCGCGGAAACCGAGTGTTCTCAAATATTTTTGATTAGCATTGCCTGTCAAAAGTGCCGCTTTCGTCCCCAGCAAAATAAACGTGTTTTACTTACGAGCTGCGGTTTCCTAAATGCCTCAGAGATATTGAGTCGTTTCTCTTTGAAGAAGATTGTTCCCTGTGGGATATTTAGAAAATACAAAGCTGTTCAGTAATAAAGGGATATTTACAGATAAGTTCCAAATTAGTTAGTAAACAAAAAAATCAATAAATAGATAAAAGGCCGCCAACAATAAAACAAAAAAAGGGAAAAAAAGAACCAAATTTGTGACTTTGTATTTCACCAATCAGATGAGTTTTAGTGTCACAATCAAATGAAAGACTGAAATTCTCAATGCTTGGACAAGCCGTCCTCAAAATCAGACATGCCCATCGGCGTGGTCATCACAGTGCTTTTTAACCTCAAGACAGCCTTCACAATAGAGATAAGAATTATCTCGGAACAAAGATGTAAGGGGTAAGGATTCAATTTACAACGTTTACAGCAGTGACACACACGGCTGCGCCTCTAGTGTAACTTTTAATTTTTGTTCTTCACCACATTTGACTTCATCTGTGATCTACAGTCTTGTATTTAAACAAACGCAAGTTAACATGGAATCTGTTCATCATATAGACGATGGAAAATTGTGGTAGATTTTTTAAGTAAACAGGGGTATGTCCTCACCATGTTCATGACTTTCTGGGCATCTTCTTCTCGATAAAAAGTAACAAAACCGTACCTGCGATTATAAAATCATGACACATTCAAGCATTCTGTAAGTTTCCCCGGACTCCACTGAGCCGATTGCCATTTAGGGCAAAGGTGTAAACAGTTTAAGATGGCTTTTTTTCACACGTGTTGTTATAGTTGTTATTTTGTTCACCTTCAGACACTAAATCAAAACTTTTCGCGATGTCTGCACTAGAACGTACTACAATTTAATCCACTCAATTCTTCAGTGAGACTTAAACAAATTCTACGAGCCATAGCCCCAGCGCAAAATACATCCCTTTCTTTTTCCGCTTCAAACAAACTGAACCCGATGGAAATTTGAAAAGAGAAAATGATAAATCAACTTGTTCCTTCAGTTAAAACTACGTTTTTCCTATTGCATGCGTAATCCCATGCAACACAACAGATCTCAGCTGTAAGCAACACACTTTAAAGTTTTCCATGAAGATTCTGTACAACCATCCAGAAACAGTACAACATTAACCTAACCTCCATTGTAAATCTCACCCTTTACTCAATCCCTCGCTGTCTTTTATGATTTTCGTGTCCCTCACTGCTCCATAATTACTGAAAAAGTCTTTCAGTTCTTCTTTAGTGGTCTTAAGAACAAATCAAAACACAAAAAAAAGTTTAAGCGTGCATAATCGTTTCGTCAATTCGTTGTCAGTTTTTCATGTGTGGGATGGAGAAACGTTTGCCGATTACAAGTACATTCTCTATGACTACTGTATAATTAAGAAAAGCGCTTTACTCACATTGAAAGCTATACCGCCAACAAAGATGCGATAAGGGATTTTTATTGCCCCGTCATCGACTGCTCGCAACTGATTCATCGTGCCTGCATCTGACGAAACATATGCCTGCGTTTGAGGTAAAACGTTGAGTAAGACATTTTTAACCATTTGAACTGCCTGTCTTAAACGTTGGATGATATAAAACGAGACGAGCACTGAGCCGTATTTAATAGCTAAGGTTTGTAATGCTCTTGATTCTATTCTGGTGAAAGCGAATTTAGAGCCATTACACGGTATGGATAAAGGTAATGATACAGCCAAGTTTTACAACCATGTTCTAATTGGTTACAGTCCGCCCACGATGGAAAACTTTCACAGATCTAGGATTTTTAAGTAGTTGTTCATGGATCAAAGCCAGTCAAGTCACTTCACAGTAAAAAAAAAAAAAAAGTATCACAAAATTAATTTGTGAAATACAAACCTTACCATTTCGATCTCGAGATATTTGAAACTTGTCGCCACTCCAATTTGCTACAACAGGAGTCGCACTAGCGATGCGTTGGTAACAAATGACTTCACTAGCAGTACATGGGGGGAGGGGTAAGGAAATGGTGAGAGAGAAACATTCCCACGCACTGCCACAGATAGCCGATTGGAAATTCTAATGTCTGAGGACTAATTTGTTATTTTCTGCTTTGATTGTCAATCGCAATCTCTCTGAGTAGTACCATCATCGAAAACTTCAAAAATTGCATAGCACTGCACCGGCGATTCGCTTTAAGAAAAACAACCAATAGTTTATTTTTCGTTCTTAGTTTTCTATTTTTTTTTGTTTTTTGTTTTGAAATAAAGAATCCAAGATTTCTACTTATCAGATCTACTTATCAGATCTACGTAGGCCTTTAGATAACGAACCTGCGAGACAGGACAAATGTAAAATGAGACGGAAACATGATCTTTTACTTGTTAAACATTATTACTTTGACATCGTGCTTTTAAGTCCAAGGATTTCAGGCGAAAGGTCCCCACTCAGAGAATGATAAACGAAAATGCATTTCTGTAGACATTTTTTAGGGCCTGTTTACATGGCGGTCCATATAATCTCTTGTTTTACCTTGATCACCTTTACGTGAGAGGTGGGGTGACCCGCCTGGACGGGTTGCCCGGTCTGCTGGGTAGGGTAACCCTGTCAGCTGGGGTGACGAGTTGTCATGTAAACGTCTCAAAATGAGTTGAAAAAAGCTCAAAAAGTGAAACGTGTGATTGAAAACTTTGTACATTTCTTAGCCGTCTCATGGCAGAAATCACTAAAAACCGCAAAGGACACACAAGGAGTGTAAAATGTTCACATTTCGGAATATTTAGCGTTGTAAATCGACCATGTTTGGTTTCCCAAACTATTCTGTATAACGTATTAATTCAACGGTTTCTCGCGAAACCAAACACCGCGTAACAGAACGCGTGACGCTTTCACGAATAAATACATATGTGTCCGAGAATTAATCTTTCATCTTTTTCGAGATGTGAGCTTGGGATGCCTCTGCTCAAACTCCTTAGGGCCTGTTTACATGGAGGTGGGGGACCTCAGGTAGGTGAGGTAACCCGCCTGCCCATATAAATTCTTATTTTATTTTGATCACGTTTACATGATAGGTGGGGTAACCCGCCTAGCCGGGGTCGCGTTCATGGCAAAAAGCTCAAAAGCGAAACATACATGTTTTAGCCTTTGTACATTTCCTGGCCGTCTCATGGCAGAAGTCACCAGAAAACGCAACGGACACACGTTGTTAATCGACCATATTTGGTTTCCCAAACTATTCCGTATAACGTATTAAGTCAACGGTTAATCGCGAAACCAAACACCGCGTAACACAGCGCGTGAAACCTTCATGAATAAATACATATGTGTCCGAGAATTAATCCTTCGTCTTTTTCGAGATGTGAGCTTGGGACGCCTCTCCTCAAGAAACCTCACCCCAGCACCCCGGGGTTGTAAGATTGCATGTACACGCGTTTTATTTTTCGACCACGGCTAGGTGCGTTACCTCACCTACCTGGGGTCTCCCATCTCCATGTAATAAGGCCCTAAGTTTATTCTGCTTGTACGTTCAAGTTTGAAAAAGAACAACATCATTAAGCACTCTTACCGAAGAAGACCACAGTATTACGCTAACTTACCTTCAGAGCAGTGTCCCAGAACACCTTTTCCATGCCTTTTTATATGTCACTTAGTGAAGTGATATCGATTTACAGATTTCAAACACAGCGTCATTTCCACGGAAACAAGAGCTTCTCTCGCCCTCGTCTGAAGTCTCTTCTTTTCAAAAACACGTCATTCTCAGAATTTAGATATGGCGCAGACCTTTCTTTAAGGATAATTTTCCAATCACACGAAATGAATTCAAATTAAAAGCGCCAACTCAGTCGACACCTTGTCAGTTAAAACTCATAAGACCCAATTAGAAGTATGAGAATTTTGATGTTTCAACAAGATAAGACTCCGTTGCTGATAAGCTTTTCTATTCTGTTTGCCGGAAAACAATGATATTGCGATCGATAGGGAATTTATATATTTAACACGTCCAAGAGTTTTTTTTTCTAACAGTCCGTTTGTTTCAAGCCACTGTTAGTCTGTTACGGTGGCTTTTCCTCCATTTCTCTTTTGCTTTAGGTTATCTTTTTCGTTCCAGGATCTTCTACTCCACCATCACCGATGTTTGAAAAACGACCAACGTCGAGAGGAAACCAAGATATGAGGAACGTGGGTACTGTTATGGAATCAAAGGCAGAAAACATTGCGATAAGTGATCGCTGGTTAAAGGATCAAATATCAATGTTACTGATATATAATTTACACCATTCCGAGGACGGCGCACTTTGATTATCTGGCATAGCGTAAAAATAAATATCTACTAGACCAGTGGAACCTAGACTATGGTATTATATGGACTACTTGACGACCTGATTTCGCGAATATGTCGAAAGTGATGCTCTCACTACCCGGCGTTCATTATCTAACGTAACCACACTGGGATGAATATTTATACGCAATGTCATCATTATACTCCTTCGATTCTTTCTTTAAAAATTCTCTATTCCTCCCTGGTTGTCCTAGTGTTAAGACCTGTCATGAAATGTTGCTAGAACCTCCCAACATGATCAGTAGCCACACACTTGATTTGTTTTTTTAAATTATTATTTTTTTATTCAGCTAGAGGTGACATTTGTTATGATCTTGGGTTTCCAAATGGTGATTATTAGCAACGTTAAACTTAAAAATTGAATGTTTCCCACATCTTTTTATTCTCAAGCCAAGAAACGAGCATAAAGAAGTAAATCGGAGAGACTGGCACTAGTTTACAGCTGGTAACCGCTGATTGGCTTAGCCGTAAAAACGTGGTCCAGCTTCCAAAATGGAGGTTGAACGGAGCAACGAAGCGTCTGGATCAAAAGAAGGGAAAATTACCTCTGCAGAGGCAAAAACACAGACGATAGGCTGGCAGTCCTTGCTTACTTTCACCATCCTTTCTTTAGCATGGCTGGTGGGTTTTGCGAGCCGGCTTTTCGCAGTGATACGGTTCGAGAGCATCATTCACGAGTTCGACCCGTGGTAAGATCAGAAGAAAGAATTTGTATTGAACAGTTTTTTTCGCTTCTTTTTTATTTCGATTTCCGAGATAAAAATTGAATTTTCCTCACGATTTCTTTTATTACCAAGTCTCGGGAGTGGATAAAACATGGCTCTGCGTGCATTTGACAAGCCGGTCTTTTGTTTTCAAATTTTTGACATTTTGATCAAAATTCAAATTTCAACTGAGTTTAAATTTATTCAATAACTATCATTAACCAAGCGTTATTCAGTCGGATGAGTTAACTTATAAGCGAATCAACCTTTTTGATCGGATTTTTGAGCTCGGTTTGGAAAGGTCAAAATCATTTCGTATTCCTCCTCAAATTTCGAATTCATTTAAGGGCAACAATTATTTTGGCCACTATTTCCGTCTTTTGTTGTCTTGGTTTTAATGGATCGGAAAGTGTCAGCTTGATAATAAGTATTTGAAAACATCTTAAAATACAGTATAATGCTATAGCCGCGGTGGGGGGTAGTTCTTGTTTGTGGGGAATTTCAGGTATGAAAGTGCAAATATTATTTTGAAACACAACTGATATTTTTCCATTAAGGGAACACCTTTTTTTCCAGGGTTTGTTTTTTTATGTGACTTGGGCCTGGCTTCCCTAGCTTCTGATAATATTTTTCCTAATCCTGTTCTAATCAATGGGATGATAATTCTGGATTTTGTGATACTACAAACAATCTTATCAGTGCATGCATTAAATTGATCAATTCTTGGGTTTTTAATCTTGCATTTGTGCAAGACAGATCGAATGGATAAATAAATATGCATTTGTCAATAACACATCTAGTTTGAATATTTTCAATAAATAACTTTGAAAATATTTTTTTTTACTAATTTATTTAGTCAGCTGCTCAACGTAAAGGACATGACCTCCTTATTTTCTGTTTGTGAAATGGTTACTTTGGATATTTTTGGCCTTTTTGAATTAGCATTTACATTTATTTAATGAGCGCTTAGAACAAGAGGAAGTGGTAGATGTAAAAACAGATGTTCTTGCGGTTTGTGTTTTGGCTTTGAAGGATGTGATAGAAGATAGATACAGATTGAATTAACCCTTTAACTCCCAGACCAAGTGTGCGATTCTCCTTACTGTTAACCATACTTTTCTTAAAATGTTGGTTCAGAGAATTTAGTATTGGATCAATTTACTATCCCCAATTGATATTTTTCTCTATTCTCATCACTTATCTGTTTGATATTGTATTGATATTGTAAAGAGAAATTCTGTCTTGGTCACTCATGGGAGTTAAGGGTTAAGAAACAACCTGAATAAAATACGAGAAAATTCATAGCTCTACAATTTGTTTTGCTGGTAGCTTGTATTTAATTTTTATGCAAGCAAATTTTGCTAAAACATGGAAATTATGATAATTGTAACCACATACAAATTATCTTTGTTGACTACTTTTCTTGGATATCAGAATGAACTTAAAAGCAAATAATTTCTGACCAAGGTTTGTTAAAAACCTACCTTTTATTTATGCTATCAAATTTAAAAAAGGGCAGATGAAACCTTTTTTTATGTTAATTTTTCCCTGTACAAGTAGGAAATTTATTAGAAAAGCCATTTTTAAATAACTGAAATTTCTCACTCATACATATAGATGCACACTTCCTAAGTTCTGTGATGTAAAAATAAGAGACTACAAAATAAAGTAACAGGTTTTAGGGGGTAGCCAGCTTTTTGACTTGTTGCAGGCTTGTTCCCTAAGAAAGTTCAATTTTTGTAAGAGTTGTATTATGAAAGTTACATGCACAAAAAAATGTTGGAGACCAAGTCTACGGACCTATCGGCTGGCTATGTAGCTAGGTTATATCTGATTACAGGCTAGCTTAAAGTGACTCAAACTTATTATCTTTTTTCAATTAAACAGGTTCAATTATCGGTCTACACATCACCTTGTCACTAATGGGTTTTACAACTTTTTGAACTGGTTTGATGAAAGAGCTTGGTACCCACTGGGCAGGATTGTTGGAGGAACAGTAAGTAACACAATTGGCTCATTGATAGAATGCTCAGAAGATTTTTATATTCAATTGTCAGGGATTTCAATGACGTTTCCCATTAGTGGCTGTGGAAAGTGTAGTAGGCAGCTGTGCCATGTAGGGATTAAACACAAGAGCCTGCCTGCAAGCTAAACAGATAGCAGTAAGATGTCTTTTAGGCAGAAGTAGAACTTCTGTACAACCACTTTTATTAAAGCCCCAAGAGTGTCTTATAGGAGGCCTCGATCTAGAATTCAAAGCTAGTTCAGTTACTTGTAGCGGCCAATGCTCTAAGGTACATGTGTGAGGGTGAGGGAAGGGGAGGGTAACCTTAGATGGAATAACACCTTATTATAGGAGAAGAAGTAGTATTCCTGGTCACATTAATGTGGCAGGGCCTGGCTTGACAAAAAAGGGGGAGCTTTACCTGTTCCCAGTGCTTCAAGTACCTTTATTAGTTTAAACCATGTAAACTTATAAAGTTTTAGAACTGCCTTGGTGAGGTGTAGTTGCTCTTTGCATAGATTTATGCTGTTACACAAGAATGGTTTTTCATCAAGTTTGAAATGACAGAACTATTATACAGATTTTTACAGGTCATTGAAAGTTTTCTTTTTTCTTTTCAGGTTTACCCAGGTTTGATGTTGACTTCAGCATCTGTCCACTGGGCTCTTAACACACTTAACATCACAGTACATATCAGAGATGTGTGCGTTTTTCTGGCACCAATGTTTAGGTAATTTTATCTCAATGAATATAGTGGGTATATAATGTTGACTTTTGCGAGACTCTGAGCATAAAGGAGTAACCACTCTTGCTCATTATTTTTATCCCATATAATAGTTATGATGATACAAATGTTATTATTTTAAATGGTGACCAACAATGAATGATTATCTAGAATATCAAGAAAGGGATGCTACTTAAGTCAATATCAAATTCTCATAACTACAATACTACAATTGTAAACAACATATGGGGGAAGGTGAAGTGAAATAACATTTAGATCTTAGTGATTGATATTTTTTTCTTTGTCTTGTCTTCAGTGGTCTTACAGCAATAGCAACTTATCTCCTGACTAAGGAACTATGGAATGATCGTGCTGGCCTCTTTGCAGCTTGTTTTATAGCAATCGGTAAGTTGCAATATTTTTGTTAGCTGGTTATAATACCTCTAGTGAGGAGTCAATAGTTGTTAGAACAAGAGCTGTATGCATCAAATGTATTGTTTTAGTGTGGATGGAATGGCTTAGTCTCATTAACAAATTCATTCCATGTTGATGCGTGTCTGTTCAGTAATAGATCAGAAATAATATCAAAATGTGATAAGAACAAAAACGGGGCAAACAAGGTACAACCATTATGACACTGTTCTCCTTTTCAGGTGGTAACTGGTAAAATTTACCTCGTGTAACAACTTTCATCACCATTAAAGTTATTTGTAATTCTTGTAAATTCAACTGGTAAAAGGATTGTTCTACCGGTTGGAAAATTTATTTTACCTGTCATGCTTACAAGAGGGAAGAACACTGTTATGATGCTCAGAAAAGCCAAAATACTTGTAAATAAGATTATAGTGGAATAATTAATCCCTCATAGTTTACATCTTTCCTTGTCCCTAACAGGCTTGGAAAATACCATGTAACTCACAACATACCTGCCCCTACATTACAATATACCATTAAATAAGGTGTATGAATGAAACAGAATTCCACCAGTGATTTATTTGAATTTTTTCCCCTGTACATAACAATGTATCTCTTCTAGTTCCTGGGTACATTTCTCGGTCGGTGGCAGGATCTTACGACAATGAAGGCATAGCTATCTTTGCATTGCAGTTTACATATTTTCTATGGGTGAGTTTTATAACTTTTTGTATGGGTTCCATTTCCCCCAGGCTTGAACAATTTTGAATTTTGATTTTAGCAGAGAAGCTTATTGTAAGTAAGTTTTGGTAACAAGGGTAATCCCCTGTGTATTATTTTTAAAAAAAATTTGAAGGAGGGTTCTGAATTTGATTTGTGGTTTGCCACAGAGCAGAGCTGCCTTGCTGTTTTGTCTTTCAGAAAGTACCTTAGCATATTAGATTTAGACTTTCAGAAAGTACCAAGTGTATTAGATTGAATATTCTTGGCTTACATACTTTTCATGAGCTGCAAACTGCTGATGCAAAGTTTTTTTTTCTCGTAGCTGCATTTAGTGGCACATTTCATTTGCTGTGATGGAGTTTGAAGATTCTTTTTGCAAATGTGTCTTTTACAGGTTTAAATTTGGGAGAAGATTTTGCTCATTTTAATTTCCTTTGTTAAATTCACTCAGGTGAAGTCTGTTAAGACTGGTTCAGTATTCTGGGCAGCCTGCACAAGCCTCTCTTACTTCTACATGGTGAGTAAAATGATTAACCCTTTACACCCTAACATCAGTATGCATTCTCTATACATTTCCTATGGTGCTGACAAGGAGAATCTGTTTAACAATCGAGAGCTTCTCTAGCTGGTGATCATTTCCTTTATTCTCATGACCTTAATGTGTGATTCAGAGGTGATATTGTGAGAAGAAATTAGATGCTAGTGACTCTAAGAGTAAATAATCACTTTTTTATAGAGTAGGCAGATACCATGAAACTACCCCATTGTTATGGCCCCCTCCTCATAACAACTTCCTTTTCAAATCCCAAATGAAGGCACAGTTATTTCTTTTTTACGTACTTGTTTTGTAAAACAATTTGAATATGCTCAACTCTCAATAAACTACCTTTACGTAAAGTTAGTTAATTTCAATTCCAAATTTTGGGCATATGGTGTTTTGTCATTGGCTGAACATCTCACCATTTCCCTCTAGGGTTTTTTTCTTTCTTTCTTTTTAACAATTGCGATAATTAAGAAAACCTTCCTCTAATTGTTGCTGCAGTGATTACTGCAATGTTTCATTACAGATTAAAAGAGTAGCACTGAGTTATTGCTTTGCTTATAGTAATGGCCATTTGGCAACAGCTCATACATACAAAAATGACTTTGTGTTTTAATTCCTTACTTGTCTGATCATCTGTCAGGTCTCTGCATGGGGTGGATATGTATTCATTATCAATCTGATTCCTCTTCACGTGTTCTTCCTTCTTCTGATGGGAAGATTTTCATTCAGGATCTATGTTGGTATGTTTATTGCTAATTGCTTATTTATACCTCACCATGTCTCTCTAATGATGTAAACAAACATGCTCAAACTTCATTGTAGACAAGTGTTTCTTCCTTTGGGTTTCCCTGATTGTTAAAGATAGCAGTTCCCTTTATTTTAAGTAATCCCCTTGATAAAGCTATGATGTTGTAGGTGCTTTTGGGGAAAATAATCTATGATGTGTTTAAATAATTTAAAAAAATAGATATTTTTAATTGAAAATCAATAACTGGAGAGTGAGTCAATCAGAAAAATGTGGAATGGGCCCCAATTTAATTGCTACACCCACTCCCACTATCTTTTGTTCATGTGTTTGTCTTAACCTTTTAACTCCTGTGAGTAATCAACATAAAATTTCTCCTTACAATATCAATACAATATCAACCAGATAAGTAATGAGAATAAAGAAAAATGTAAATTTGGGGATAATTAGTTGATCCAATACTAAATTCTCTGAATTAACATTATAAGAATTGCATGGTTGACAGTAAAGAGAATTACAAATTTGATCTGGGAGTTAAAGGGTCAAGGTGGTCTCAGCTCTGAAGCATTTTTGTTCTGACTCTGCCCTGTCTTTGGTGTTGAGTAGGATGGTGTGGTGCATCCAAGTAGATATTGAATCTCATTGCTTGGTAATGATATACCTTATAAAATTATTTTTATTAATTAGTTTCACTGTGTTATTTTTAGCATACACAACTTTCTTCATCATGGGTCTCCTCATGTCAATGCAAGTACCTTTTGTCGGCTTTCAACCAATACGAACAAGTGAACACATGGCTGCAGCAGGTGTGTTATAAGTTAGAGGCTCAGATAGCTGTCCAAAATTATTGACGGGCACTCCATCTGTGGGGTCATTCCAAAAAAGCATTACATCAAAACAATTGTTCCCACAGACAACAGCTTTCTAGCATCAGTTGTATTTTGGTTGAAGATCACCCTGAAAGAAATTATTCCGAATAAACAACTACAACAAAACAGTAAATATGATAAGAAAGATGGTAAATTTTGAGCTCAGTCAGGAAATAGAGAAAGAGGTTTTTTCATCTTGTCATGAGTGTGGGACAAGACCCTCAGACCTTCAGATTTCACCTTCCAATGCTCTACCACTAAATCAAAGAGACTGTATGGCAAGTAAGGCCATCAAGAAGTTCTTATATGACCGTCATCCTGTATACTGCTAGTATCAGCAATGTCATTAGTGTCATGTTTTGAAAATAGAAAAAGAAAGATGGTAAGTTTTGAGCTCAGTAAAGAAATAGAGAAAGATGTTTTTTCCTTGTCCAATGCTCGTGACAAGAAACTAGCAGTTATTGGGTCACTTGGCCTCTCTGACTTCAACCACACCCCCTCCCTCCATTTTATCTGTTATCTTCAATTAGCTTATTCCTTTTAATAAGAAACTGGTTTGTAAAAGAGAGGATCAACTTTTGTTAATTTCTATTACTGGAGAAAGTCAACAACATTACTGTTTTTAACTTTTACAGTGGACGAGAGATTTTTTTAGAAGACCAAAAAAAAATACTATTTGCAATATAGTATATACTAAGTCAATGATTTTTTAAAAGTATTTATTGTAGTTGTTGTTTTTTTTTCATTTAAATGATGGTTGGTTTTTCTAGGGACATTTGCTCTTCTCCAAGCCTATGCATTTTTGGTGTACGTTAGAAGCAAAGTATCATGGACTGACTTCAAGAACATATTTGTGTTTGCTGTGGTGGCTGTAGCAGGCTTGGTGTTTGTTGCAGTCATTTTTCTTACTTATGCTGGTATGTAGGCTTATAGTTTTCTGTTTACATTGAGGAACAGATGAAGAATATGTTAAATTGCCTGCCTGATACATGTTTTAAATTTTAGTATGGGAGTTTTCTGTAACTTCCTGAGGATCACCAGTATATTTGAATCCAAATCAACTTGTTAACTTCTTCTTTCAACCAGGTTATGTAGCACCTTGGAGTGGACGATTTTATTCTCTGTATGACACTGGGTAAGCCAAACTGAGAGTATACTGCGTAGCTTGAAAGTTTTGTGGGTTTTATGTTTTGCAGATTTTATAGATGGTCTTTGATTCTTTGAAAAAGTTTTCTTTATAAAAGAGTCAATGAAAATGAAATGCTGCCAAAAAATTTCTTCCTTGAGTTACATTAAAACTCTATAATTTAAACAAGTGCTTATCTGTTTTCTTCACCTTCATTCTTGCTCAAAATATCCATATAGAGGAGTTTCAAACAGTTTTTTCATAAGTGGCTGCCAGTGGTTTAACCTTTTAGCCTTTAAGAGTGACTAGCTTCTAATCTCTCCTTAAAATGTCACCCTAGAATCTAACAGTAATGTCATGAGAATAAAGGAAATGATCACCAACTAAAGAAATTCTTGATTGTTAGACAAATTCTCCCAGTCATTACCTTAGTAATTGCACAGAGATAAGTATGGAGAATATGAATACCGATGTCAGGGTGTAAAGGTTTCGTGTCATAAGCCAAAACCCAAACACAAGAGCCTGCTTGAACTTTTTACCCTTTAACCCCTGAGAGTGACAAGTATCTAATTCCTCCTTACAATATCACCCCCAAAATCACGCATAAAGGTCACAAGAAAAAAGGAAATGATCAGCAAGGATAGAAGCTCTAGATTGTTAAACAAATTCTCCTTGTCAGCACCTTAGGAAATGTATTAAGAAAAGTATTGAGAATATGTCTACTGATGTTAGGGTGTAAAGGGTTTACAAATGGTAGTGACAGGTCTTACAGAATGTGGTGGATCAACAGTAGCAGGCCGAGCATATAAGACTCATTTACATTTATTGTGAAGCCCTCCTCTGCAGAACTTAACAAATTAAAAAGTGCTTAAATGTCACTGAATTTCTTTCTTTGCTATTGTTCTACTATATGAATAGAAAGTAAAAAAATAAACATTTTCAGCAGAAATTGAGTCTTCAAAGAGTGTTTGTAGTGATGAAAAGATTTTAAAATAATTTTCTCAATTTCAACCAGGTATGCAAAGATTCATATTCCAATTATTGCCTCTGTCTCTGAGCATCAGCCAACCACATGGGTGTCATTCTTCTTCGATCTCCATGTCTTAATCTGTACTTTTCCTGCTGGTCTCTGGTTTGTGATCAAAAATATTAATGATGAAAGAGTCTTTGGTGAGTAAAACATTTTACTTTAACTGATGTTTTAGTCAAATCTTTAAGGATAGATCAATGCTGATTAATTATTTGTTCTATTTAAAATTGCAGTTTGACTGCTGGGAAACTTACTAACAGCATTGTTTTTGTTCTGGATTTTTTCATTGTTCGGCACAGTTCTGAAATATGCATCCTTTGAAAGACTTCAATTGCCTATCTGCTGTTGTTAATACTTACCTTGGTGATTAAACGGAGATGTGTGGATTAGTGAGGCTACTGCATCAACAACACTAATTTAACTTTAAGACAAATCCCAGTTGGCGATAACTTTGGAAGAATTCCATGACAAATGAAATGTGTCCAAGAAGACCCAAAAAAACCTACCCTCTAGGGCTGATAAGATCTTGTAGACAAGTTAGCATGACCAACAATTTTTCAAGTCACTATTTACATCTGTTCACATGCCTGCCATGCTTTTGTACAGTCTGTCAACATTTGTGAAACAGAGAGATGGCTGTCTTGTACCACAAAAGCATTGCACAGATATTAGCAGACTTGGTGTACAAATATTACCCACAAAAGCACATAGAAATAATGGGCTTCATGGCATCGGTTTGATTTTTTGCTCTAGTTAACCTTCATATGCACAATATTGCCAGCTTCATTCTCACTTATTTTAAGCATAGCAGCCAAAAGACATTTTCAAAGTGGTAGAGCACTCTTTTTACTGGTTGAATTTTTAAGAATTCCATGTGATTTTAGGCAATAATAAGAGGTACTTCAGGCAGTAGATTTATTTATCGCCTGGAAAGGAAAACACTGTTTGTATTAATTTACTTATCTCTTTTATCGACTAATCTTTCTGTACTTTTTTTGTTTCAGTTTGCCTGTATGCTACAACAGCTGTGTACTTTGCTGGTGTAATGGTGCGTCTGATGTTGACCTTGACACCAGTAGTGTGCATTCTGGCAGCCATTGCTTTCTCTGTAACATTGGACAACTACCTGGTTGATGATCGCCCTTCAGAAAACAAAGATGCGGCAGCTAAACCAACTGATGGAAACAGTAGCAGTGAAGAGAATGATAAGAAAAGGAAAAAAGATTTGTATGACAAGGTAAAATTTCTGTGTAAGAAATCCTCTGAAGCTGACTTGGATTTTTGACTTGAAGCTTTGCAGCCTGTTTTTCTGGCTCTGCTGCCTTTTTTCAGTCAATGAGAAATATCGCATGTGGGCTAAAATATTTTTAATTGTATTGATGTTTTTGTGTTAAGATTCTCTTTTGAACTTCTGCATCCTTTTGAGTATTTTGTGATGTGTAAAGGAGCATTTGATTGAACAAGGTTTTTTTCTTTTTTTATAGTTGTAGCATATGCTACCTGCATTATGCATACAGCTGTTGATGGGATAAAAACACATTTTGATGCAGTTTTAGAAAATTTCCCCTTTCTGGATCATTGCATGATTGATGGGTTAGTGGGCCTTTCTTAACATAGTTGACTCTCCAATTTTGGTCACCTCGCTGAATAAGTCATTTTTCAGGGCATAGAGGTGGTGTGTTGTTGAGAGATTCATGTAAGTTAGATAAATGATTTCTTGAAACTGTGGAATCTTTACAATGTTCCTGCTTGGTTCATTCCATCTTTATCTCCAGCCCAAGAAGAAGTCTCATAGCAGCAAGACCAAGCAAGAAGAGAAGGAGAAGGATGAAGACGATGAGGCAATTGGTGCAAATCTGAAGGGAATGGTAGTGATGTGTACAGTGATGATGCTGATGATGTTTGCAGTGCATTGCACATGGGTGACCAGCAATGCCTATTCAAGTCCCTCTGTTGTGTTAGCCTCTACAAACTATGATGGGTAAGGCTTATTATTGTGGCTTTTTACCGTCCCTACCAACTGGTACCCATGTGGGAGGGAAGAGACAAGTGTCTGACCCAATAACACTTCACAATGAACTGGCCAGTTCTTGAAATCTCACCGTATGACTTGGGAGTCAAGCATATTAACCTTTTAGCTCTCAGAAGTGGTTTGCATGTAACTTCTCCCAACAATATCCATACACTATCCAACAAACAGGTAATGAGATTACTCAAACTTATCAGTTAGAGGTTGTTATCATGATATAACACCAAATTCTTGTAACTAAATTTTAAAGAAATGTGCAACAGCTAGATGGGAGAATTAACAATCAGATCTTGGGAGTTAAAGGGTTAACTGTTAGGCCATTGAGGTCTCCCACGTGTGTGAAGGGAGGAAAATTTTGGCATTCCTCTTGGACCCCATCACGGCTCTTTGCATCATATTTTTGTCTCAGACACCTTGGTCCCTCAACAGTTAGGATGATACAATCGTGGCTGAAAGTGCATGGAACACCTTTGAAAAACACACGCAAACTCTTTCCATGACCATGACAATTTCCTTTTGAAAGTGACCAACATCCTCTCCTCCAAAACAATACTGACAGCAAATTTAATAATCAACCAAGGTAACCCTTTAACCCCTAAGAGAATCTAGCATCTAATTTCTCCTTACAATATCACCCTTGAATCAAACATTAAGGTCATGAGAATAAAGGAAATGATCACCAACTAAAGCAGGTCTTGATTATTAGACAAATTCTCCTTGTCAGCACCTTGGGAAATGTATAGTGAACAGTATGGAGAATATGGATACTGATGTTAGGGTGTAAAGGGTTAAAAAGGTAAACTGTGCTTGGTGGTGGACAAGTAGGACCACATGGCAGAAAGGACGTGTTATTTATGGGTGGTGTTGCAGAAGTGTTCCAAAATGTTTGTCCTTGATCAAAAGTTGTTAATTAACATATAATTGTCGCTATCCAGGAGTCGAAACATTTTGGATGATTTCCGAGAGGCATATTTCTGGCTTAGACAAAACACAGATGACAATGCACGGTATGTTCTACCTTGGACTCTTATTTTTATGATATCAAGAAGTAAGTTTCCCACATTACAGCTATTTGCTAAGGTAGCTGACATTCAAATGAAGCATACTTTCCTCGGAGGGGTGGAAAAGGACCAAAAATGACGATAACGCTCTTGGAAGTTTTCCATTTTGTGTAACTTGGTACTGTCCTTCTTTCAGGGTCATGTCTTGGTGGGACTACGGATATCAGATTGCTGGTATGGCAAATAGAACAACACTTGTGGACAATAACACTTGGAATAATAGCCATATAGCTCTGGTACAAGCTTATTATCATTATTATTAGTAGTTTTATTATTGTTATTATTAATAATGTTTTGGAAATGAGTGATGAGTACTCCTTATGTTAACTTTTACTAGTAACCCTGTGACACCTATGAGTGACTTGCATTTAATTTCTCTTTACAATACCACCCCTGAATCACACGTTACGGTCATGAGAATAAAGGAAATGATCACCAACTGGAGAAGCTGTTGATTGCTAAACAACTTCTCCTTGTTAGCACTTTGGAAATGTGTAGAGAACAGTATGGAGAATTTGTATACTGATGTTAAGGTGTAAAAGGTTAAATTGATAATGGCTTTTTTTTCTGCATTTTGGGAATGAGGAATATTTGCTGAGCAATTTTGTTTCGTTTTAAGCTTCGAAGGAATTTTTTTTTCAAAATCCATTAAACCTGTAGACCAGTTAACCCTTTCAGTCCTTGGAGTGATCAATAGACATTTTCTCCCTATGATATCAATACTTAGCCAGGCTAAGAGGTAATGAGAAGAAAGAAAAATCAAGTACAAGATATAGCTTGATTGAACCCCAAATTCTCAGTGCTAAAATCATTAGAAATGTATGGCAGAAGTAAGGAGAATTGATATGGGGATCTACAGAGAGAAAGAATTAAACTTTGTTAAGAATTTTTTGTGTTCGTCCTTTGTCCTTATGCAGGGCGTGAAATTGCGCCTAATACAGGCGCCAATGCGGCTAAATTTTTCATTTTGGCGACCAAATCCTCAAAAGTAGCCGCCAAATTGGCGACTAGAATGCTTCATCATAACCATACCCAGAGATATAGTGAATTAAAAAGATTTGCAAAGATAAATCCGCGGCAAAC